AGGCCTCAATTAAACACCCCGGACCTCTAGCCATCGTATTTGATGACTTTTGGTCCAAAAGTGGTCCAGCGCATCAGGCTCCTTCGGTCCTGTAATCGCACGATCCGCAGAACCGTCAGAACCGACGCGCTGTTTGCTTTCTGATTATTACAAAAGGGACTCACCGTGACAACCGGTTATTCCCGCACTACCCGCCAAAGCATGAGGACTAGAGACAGCTATGTCCCATGTACCCACCTAAAAAACCAAGCTCCATCAGCAGGCCCCCTTTCAAATCTTCCAAAAAAATGTCTAAGCCCGCCTCAGACAGATGAACTCCATCTTCCTGGAAATATTCCTGGTTAAACATTTGGATCCTGCGATGGTTAATCACAAATCCGAGGCCGCTTTTGCTGACGCCTCCACAAACCTCTCTATTAACCTGACGGCGAGCCTTGTTTACTTTAACCAGACTCTGAGCTCCATGCCAACTTAACCGCGGTATGATCGTTGACCATATAATCCGCATGGCAGGATATAATCTATGTAGCCTGTTCAGGTCTCTCAATATATCCAATATCAGTGCCTTACCTGGCACCCGTGGTAAATCATTGCCCCCTAAATGGACTAACAAAATGTCAGGAGGTGCTTTTCCAAAAGCTGTCATTCTACCAAATTGCAACCATTGCATGCCAGGCTTGCCCCTCCAGGAGATGGAAGCCTGGGCTCCAAGCCCCAAGTCACTTCCCCATGGGGAAGATGCAGCATAACGTGCTGCCCAATAGATGTAACTATGTCCCACAATCGTGATGTTCCTCCGCACCTCCATTAACACTCCACCTGAAAGACAAAAACAAACACTGCCTATACGTTAGGGAGTTGTCTAACATACCTTTGGTAACAATTGGATGACCACCTACCCAACTGCTTAATCTGCTCTGCAGTATAACCCATGGCTGCTGCTGTTGAAGCCGCCCCTATCCTAAAAGAATGTGTCCCGAATCTTGTGTTTTTAACCCCTACTCTTTCCAGCGCCATGTCAGTTAACTTCCAAAATTGATATTTCGTAAGTGGTGATCTATCCTTATGTTGAAATAAATAACCACCTTCCGGCCCTCTGATCTTCAAAAATCCCTCTACTGCCTTTACAGGACATATATTATGCATACCACACCTCCCCAAAACCACAATTCTGCCTTTATGCTCTTGATCCGTTTTAGAACTCCTAATCCTAAACTTCACCTGCCCTTCTTTCATTGTTACATCCTCCAACTGTAAAGCCTTCCTCGATAAATCCCCCTTAGCCAAAGCTACCAACTCACTAACCCGCAAAGCCCCAAAAAAGGCTACCAGCGCTGCTGCATGAAAAAGTGCCTCCTCATAACTATCCCTACAAAGAAATCCCCATAACCCACATAACCGTTCCAGGATAACCGGAGATATGGGTGTCCTACCATCTGGCAAACTTCCCCTCTCCCGGGACCACCCTTCCAACATCTTCCTGATCCGAAAATCCCCTGAGTAATCCTTAAACCCGTTCGCCTTAGCATAAAACCCCAAAGCAGCCAATTTGCCGCGTATAGTAATTGGCGCCAAGCCCCTACCATGCAGGGCCACAATAAATTGTTGTATATGCTCCACCGGTGCAGGCCAAATTTGTTCCAATTGTAGCGCTCTTCTAAATTCCAAAAACTTGGTACCTACAGCTATGTATTTTTTGCGTGTTCTCGGGGCCAGCACCATACCTATTGCTCTTGATGCTTCCTCACGCCAATCTGCCAGACCTCTGCCGGAAGCACTTCTGGCAGATCCCTGGCCTCCGGTGCCAGTTCCCTGAAACGCTGGATCTGTTGGCGTGAAAGAGCATCGGCAATCCCGTTATCGATGCCTGGGACATGGCGGGCCTGCACCACCACATTAAACTGTAGTGGCCTCAACGTGAATGCCCTAACTAACTCCATAACCCTGTCAGATTTTGACGTCAAGTTATTAATTATGTACACCACGGCCTGATTGTCACACCAAAATCTGACCACCGAGTTAGCCCATTCTTCTGCCCATAGCCATAGAGCTCCCACTATTGGAAAAAATTCCAAAAATGTTAAATCCCTTGTTATGCCCTGATGATGCCAACTATCAGGCCATTTCCCTGCACACCACCTGCCACGAAAATAAATTCCAAACCCTAGCGCACCCGCTGCATTTGAATTTACCTGGACATCTGCCCTCAAAACGATTTCGGACCTCCAAAACAAAACTCCATTAAAATGAGCTAGAAACTGCTCCCACACTTTCAGATCTTCTCGCATACCCTTAGTCATTCTAGTCTTATGAAATGGTTTCCTCAGTCCTGACATGACGCTGCAAAGTCGTCTAACAAAAGCTCTACCTGGGGCTACAACTTTACACGCAAAATTCAAATGTCCTACAACTTCCTGTAATTCCCTGAGCGTCACCTTCTTCCTGCCCTTCAAACCCTGCAAAATGTTCCTAATATTAACCAGTTTGTCGTGAGGCAGCCTAGACGGCTGCTCTATGGTATCTAACTCGATCACCAAAAACGTAAGGGTCATCGCCGGACCCTCCGTTTTTTCCTCAGCCAAAGGCAAGCCCAATTCCACAGCCAAATCTCTAAAGGAATCCAAGAATCTTTGGCATTTGCCGGTATTGCTTCCTCCACAAAACAGGAAATCATCCAAATAGTGTGCTGTAGAGTTACAGCCCATTCTTTGTCTGATTAACCATTCAGCAAAGGGACTGAACCTCTCAAAAGTTGAACATGAAATTGAACACCCCATCGGGAGGGCCCTATCAACATAATATTGACCCTTAAATTGAAAACCCAATAGATTAAAATCCTTCGGGTGAATGGGAAGAATCCTGAAAGCCGATTTCACATCAGCCTTTGCCATCTCAGCGCCCACACCACAAGATCTAATCATCTTAACGGCCTCATCAAAGGATGTGTATCTAACTGAACAAAGCTCCTCTGGTATCGTATCATTCACTGACTCCCCTTCGGGAAACGATAGATGATGGATCAACCGAAATTCCCCTGGGGTCTTTTTAGGAACAACCCCCAAAGGAGAAACCCTCAGATTTTCCATGGGTGGTTCCCCAAAAGGCCCAAGGACCCTACCCTCTCTGACCTCCTTATTAATCTTTTCCAAAACCACCTCCTCCATACCAATTATCGATTTCAGATTCCTTGCCAAAAATGCCTTCCTTACCCCTACAGCTGGTATTCTAAATCCGAATTTAAAACCTAAGTGAAGGAATTCTGCACCGTCCCTATTGGGGTAATGCGTCAATCCCCTAACCAGGCTAATTGTGTACCTGCCTTAAAACAGTTGATCTTTGCATGTTTTCCCCCACACGTAAGGCATTCATGTTTGAACCTACATGGCACCCTGTTACACGAACCTCTATTGTTGTATTCGTAGCAACACAGCCGGGGTTGAACCGCCTGGCCCGCCCCTTGGCGGGCATTGGTGTTGCCAGCATACTTTATATTCAGGTGCCCACAATCGAACCTATCGCCTAAACTTGTTTTGGCTGGTGACATATGTTGTAGCCAGAGTCCTGGGTGTGTTTCGTCCCAGCGTAATTCCGGCCTGATGGCACTCCTCATCCTAAAAGCCTCATCATACCTCAACCAAGCCTGGCCCTCAAATTCCGCCTTCGCCCTGCGCATAATATCAAAATACTGAAACAGGGCCGATGCCTTCCAGGGCTGCATTTTTACCAACACACCTGCATAAATTGTAAATCCTGTGACCCAATTGGTCCAGTTTCTGTCCGGCCGTTTTCGCCTATGCTTTTCCCTGATCTTCTCATCATCCTTATCAATCTCTTTAACCTCAAATTCCCGATTCAATAACTCATAAAAATCAATGTAATTAGCTCTCCAGATCTTTTCCTTAACAGCCGGGGTCAGATGATCACCCAATGGCGAATTATAGTCTGTGTAAGGAATAGCTGCAATTGGAACCGTGTTATAACCCGTGTTGGGCACTGATGGGTGCTGCTGTGTTGTCGGGGTCTTACTTAAGTCAGCTGCTGTTGGTTGTACCCGAGTATTGAAAGGCATACCCCATCCTAACCATTGCTGGCCCATTGGGGGCCAAAAACAACCTGACCATGCCATGCTAGGAGTTACCCCAGAAGTTGGTGAAATACTAGGCTGTTGTAAGCCCCCAACCCAAGGCCAAGAAGATGCCTGACCAACTGTGTTATGTGTGTCTTCGCACTCACCAACAACCGTCCCTGGTACTCCTGAGGCTGCCACCGCCCCTTGAGAACTTGTAGATGGTTCTTCACATGTGTAAGGCCCATAAGATGTCCCCTCTGCCCCATCCTGTGCGTCTGCAGTCTCAGTCCTTCTTCGCTTCCGACCACCAGTCACCAGGGGTTCTGCTGAAGCACCGTCATCCAAGCTCTGACCTTCCACATCATGTCCCGGTTCAGACTCAAGAGCATCAAAACGTTTCATTAACTCAAGTGTGATCTCTCTCATTTCCGCCCTACGCCTTCCCTTTGTATCCCGAGCCGAGCGACGTGGTGTAACCGCTTTCCCCTAGAAGCCTGCTTTTCTGTTTGTCTCGATTCCAAGCTTGCTACTTTAGCTTGCAGCTCCTTCAGCATGGCCCAGGATTCCTCATCAGAAGATGATAGAGGAGACACCTGGGGGACTGCCCGCTTCTGCGCGGGCGACTTGCCCTTCTTCTTCCCGCCTCCCTTCTTTGGCGGCATCCTGGTACCCAAATGCAACCCTGTTCTTACTAAGCTCTCCAACGGTATATATTAAATTGTGTAAAAACCCCATCCGCCTGGTTCCAACTATTCCCTGCACAGAAAAGAAACCGTGGGTGATCAGGTTCGAGGCACCAGCCTTGCAGCTGGATGCAAGCCCCCAATCTGGCCCTGCACTACCCCTAAACATGCTGATCACCTTGTATTACTACTAGTGTTTATCAATTTTTTAAAAAATTCCAATATACTTATGTATTTAAACCAACCACCCCCACAATCCACCAAATCTAATTTCTATTTTAATGAAATTCAGTTTCACTAATCAGCAATGGGATTCCCAATAACAAAAATCACCTCTTTCCCTCACTAACCCACCTTTCAATTCCCCTATTACCCTATGACTGGCAATTCTTGTTCTTAGCTTACGTATTTATGTATAACTTTTATTTTTTTTATTTTTTTTAAATACCCCCCACTGATTACTATCTTTTGCCCTATTCCCCCCCCCACTTTATTTCTGTACAAATAAGCCTATCTATCCCCCTTCTCAACCCCTCTACCTCCCTATTATCAACCTTTTATTCTATTTTAATTTTTTTTTTAAACGAAACCACAATCTAAAATGGCGGACGGGAGCAACCACGCAGCTGAAAAACAAACACAAAATGCCGTCCCACTGTTTAAACCCTCCCCAGATCCCCAACACAGCCCTGCTTGCCAATTCACCGCCAATGGAAGACAAAAGTCACTGCAAAGGCCGGGGGAGGGGAAGATCCAAGCGTACGCGACCCTTCCCAAGCTATCCCCCTGTCCGCCACCACAAACCACCCCCCTATGCAGCCCAAAGCCCTCGCTACCCTACAAAAACTTTCCTCCGTAAAACCCCCTATGGGACGCCTGATCGAGCGTCCCTTCTCTAAAATTCACTCCCTCCTGAAGTGTCCGGCAACTGACCTTGTTATTTTCACACTGCCGGGGAGAGGGGAAGCCCTAGACACACCTCAAGGCGCGCGGAGGGGCCAAACACCCGCCGCGCGCTGCCTCGCCCTCTCTCCCTGCCTCCCAGCTGCTTCCACCATCCTTCCCAATCGCAAACCCCAAAATAAACCTCCTCCGTTGTTGCCAAAACCTCCTGAAAAGGAAAGGGTGATGAGGGGGGGCACAAGACCGTCCCAGCAAACCACTCTCCGTCACTGCAAGTAGCTCCAAACACACCACCGATCCTCCTCCGAGCTCTGCCAAAATCGAAAGAGCAACTAACAACGGGCCGGCGATCCCTTAAATCTGTGCCAGCCCCTCCCCCAACATCACATGGCCCGCTGTTTGCCTCTTCCGGGCCCGGGCGAAGCAAAAAACGCTGCGTGGCTCAAGGGCACGAAAATGCACCCCTCGCGCGCGCGGGCATGTCTCTGCTCTTTAAGATGCTGTCAAGGTTTGTCATCGCTTTCCTCCCAAGAAACAGGTGCCTTTTAATTTTGTGGCTGCTGTCACCATCTGCAGGGATCATGGAGCCCAAGAAAGTAAAATCTGTCACTGCCTCCATCTCTTCCCCTTCTATTTGCCAGGAGGTGATGGGGCCAGTGGCCATGATCTTTGTTTTTTTGATGTTGAGCTTCAGACCATTTTTTGCGTTCTTCTCTTTCACCCTCATTACGAGGTTCTTTAATTCCTCCTCACTTTCTGCCATCAGAGTGATATCATCTGCATATCTGAGGTGGTTGATATTTCTTCCAGCAATCTTAATTCCAGCTTGGGATTCCTCCAGTCCTGCCTTTCACATGATGTATTCTGCATATAAAGCTAAATAAGAGGGGAGACAGTATACAGCCTTGTTGTACTCCTTTCCCAATTTTGAACCAATCAGTTTTTCTATATCCAGTTCTAACTGTTGCTTCCTGTCCCACATATAGATTTCTCAGGAGGTAGATAAGGTGGTCAGGCACTCCCATTTCTTTAAGATCTTACCATAGTTTGCTGTGGTCCACACAGTCAAAGGCTTCTGCGTAGTCAATGATGCAGAAGTAGATGTTTTTCTGGAACTCTCTGGCTTTCTCCATAATTATTATTATTATTAGTTTTATTTATATGCTGCATTTCTCCCAACAAGGGACCCAACGCGGCTCACAACATTAAAATTCATACAATTTAAAAACAAAATAAGTTAAATATTAAAAGATTAATTAAACAATATATGATTTAAAATACAATTAAAAGTTTAAATCGTAACAACATAAAAATGGTTAAAATTATCTGCTAAAATGGGGTTCAAGGGTTCAGTTATAATTGTTAAAAGCCTGCCTGAAGAGATGAGTCTTCAGTTTTTTCGAAAGAATAACAGGGAAGGGGCCATCCTGATCTCCCGAGGGAGAGTGTTCCATAGCCTGGGAACTGCCACAGAGAAGGCCCTCTCCTGTGTCCCCACCAGCTGTTCTTGTGCTGGCAATGGGACCAAGAGGAAAGTCTCTTCTGCTGATCTTAATCTTCGAGAAGGCACATAAAGGGAGATACAGTCCTTTAAGTAGCCTGGACCCCAGCTGTATAGGGCTTTATAGGTAATGACCAGCACTTTGAATTGGGCCCAGAAACAGACTGGTTGCCAGTGCAGTTCTTGTAACAGGTGCATCATATGCTCCCTGTAGCTGGCCCCAGTCAGTAGTCTGGCTGCAGAGTTTTGCACCAGCTGAAGTTTCTGAACCATGTTCAAAGGCAGCCCCACACAGAATGTGTTACAGTAATCCAAACGTGATGTAACTAAGGCATGTGTCACTGTAGCCAGATCCGACATCTCAAGGAACTGGCGCAGCTGGTGCACCAGCTTTAGCTGTAGAAATGCACTTCTGGCCACCACTGAGACCTGGGCTTCCAAGCTTAGGAATGAATTCAGGAGTACACCCAAGCTGTAAACCTGAGTTTTCAAGGGGAGTGTAACCCCATTCAGCACAGGTAGTATCCCTATCCCCTCATCTGCCTTCCAACTAATTAGGATTGCACTGTTAGTGTGGCAGCTTAATATGGTAGACATGGTAATTATTATGGGAATAATAATTGGCAAGAATGATAACCTTTCTGGCCCTGTCCATCTCTTGGCATTGGCATATGTGGTGATGTCGTACAGCAGTCCATAACTATACTCTTCCAGGAGGGGAAAACAAAGCACCCCTTTTCCCCCACAGCCATTGGACCCACCAGCACAACCAAAGAGGTGAGCATTCTTGCTCCTGTGTCAAAGGCTGCTGAAAATGACCGGCTGTTGATCTGGTTGGATCCCATTGCAAGCAGGTCATGGCCAGGCAGTAACACTTCAATTCATTGCAGTTCAAACTGAGGAATAGGGATGTATAAAAATGTGGTGTCAAATCATTTTGGATCACAATTTACCTAATTCAGGAACAATGAATGTGAGAGAAAGGGAAACAGACACATTTGCCTGTCCCTACTGAAAAGCAGGCCAGAGTTAGACTATTTCCTTAACAGCCCCCTCTCCACATTACTGCTGGACTACAACCCCATCTTCCTTGATCACTGGCTACACTAGCTAGGACTGATGGGAAATGAAGTCCAACAAGATTCAGAAGTTCACAGGTGTCCCCTTGTCTCGTCCGCCCCTTCAGTTTACAGGACAAACAGGGAGAATTACTCCCATTCCTCTGTTTGCAATTATTAGGCAGAGTGGAAAAAACAATGAAACAATGAAAATAAAACAGACTCTGTCTGCAGGTCTACAGTTTTATTAAACACATCTAGCAGAATGAGGCATTGCAGGGGCAGGGGGGAAATATCCAGTCTTTAATGTTAGAATCCCTGTCTCAAGGTCCCTGTAGCCTTCAAGGCATGGAATATATGAATTATGAGGAACATAATAAGCATCATTTTTTTATTGAGAATAAAGTTACTTTTTTAAAAGTAAAGCAGAGACAGAATGAACCTACCTTATCAGCACAAAAATATAACATTTTCTAGTTCTTTTTGAGGTTACTTTAGAACAGCATCTCAAAATGCATTTAGATGCATTTTGACAGGAATTATTCGATGTAGCCAAACTGAAATTCTTTTAGTATTCCATGTCTGAGATGCAACAGTTTGTTCCAGTTCGGAAACTCAACTAGACGTCACTGTGGCTCCACCATCCTAAAACACAGTCAGCTCAATTTCAAGACTGAGAAATATGCCTGTACCTTTCTCCCTGATTCTTGTTTGGTTGTTTCTCTTTTCTCACTTTTTGTTCCTTGAAAGACTTCGATCCTCCATCCCAACTCCACTCATTTTAGGATAATTTGTCTCTTTCTCTGTTCTCTTTGGAATACTCTCTCTATATAGAACTGCACATTTTTTTCATATAATTTATTCTTCCTCACTGTGAAACTGTGTTAGCTGCCTAGAGTAGACTTCAGTCTCGATGGGTGGGGTATAAATTGAATTGATGATGATGATGATGATACATTTATTAAGTCCCACCACCAACCTCACAATTTCTTGCTAGGGACTTATTTCTTTGCTTTTACTTTTTCCTCTTCAGTTATGTTCTAGGAACGTGATATGCGCCATCTCTGCTCTATCACAATTGATGGGAAATGGGTAGAAAACACACATTAAGTTAGATTTGTATGCACAGAATAAAGCTAGGTTGCATTGTGATCAGACATCATATTCATTGTATTGGTTTGCTTGTGTATCTTATTGATTTATTGCATCTTCATTACATATTTTATTGTCAGGCATCATTGTCTCACAGGTTTGGATCTGTGAAAGAAGAGTCAACCTTCAGAAGGTGCTCCATGGAGACAATCTTTTACCCCATATTTATCATAGGTACCAGTGCCATGGGAGATTCATGGCTTAGTTCCTGACATCCTCAATTTTCTTCTAGGAAATGTGTTTTAAGGTAACAACAGATCAATAAGATGTTTTCCCCACCCAATTATCTCTGTTAAATATCAACAGTGCCAATACATCACAAATAAATCTTTCTTCCCCTTCTTTTTCAATAATTTTAAACTAGTGATTTGCGTAAACCAGCCTAATTCCACATTATTTGCTACTTCCTCTCACAATCAATTATTCCATTAAATGTAGTTTAATTATACAAGTACTATTGGCATCTGCACAGTTATGTTGGGAGGGTCGGAGTTTTACTACTGTTATGCCTGTGACATTACAAGAAATTCAAGATGACACAAAGGGCATGACGGCACAGACCTTTGTCCTGGAACTTGTGTCAATACCACAACCTGGCATTTAAATTACTCCTGCAATTCAAAGAGAAATATTTAGTTATCCCAGGAAGGTATGTTTCATATACCCATGCATTTACACAGCCCCTCCTACTCCCTCAATCTTTTCTGCAGCCATCACCACCCCCGTACTAACCCTTTTTGACTTATTTCATTTGCTAAACATTAAAAAGAGAGAGAAAATAGTGCTGAAGTGGCAAGACATGGAAGCATTTGAGTTACTGCTGTATAATCTGCTTTGTTTATATTCTACCAATCTTACCAAACTAGGGGAGTAACTAAAAAACTAGAAGTAAACCATAATCGTAGAATCATAAAATAATGGAGTTGGAATGGGCCTGTGAGATAATCAAGCCCATCCCCTTGCTCAGTGCTCCAAATCAAAGTATATCTGGCAAATGGCTTTGTTGCTTTGTCTTAATGCCTCCAGTGTTTGAGCACTCACCACTTCCTAAGGCAATTTGTACTGCTCTAATACTTAGGATGTGTGCTTTTTTTCCTGACATTCAACCAAAATCTGACTTTCTGTAACATGAGCCCATTATTTCATGTCCTGCACTCTGGTGAGATTGACAATAGATCCTGCCTCTACGTGACAACATTTTAAGTATTTGGAGAGTGTTATCATATCTCCCCTCACTCTTCTAAACATGCACGGTTCTTTCAGTGTTTCCTCATAGGGCTTGGTTTCCAGTTCCCTGATCACCCTTGTTGTCTTCCTCTGAACTTGCCAGAATCCTTTTTAAAGTGTGGTGTTCAGAACTGGTACCTAGTGCTCAAGCCTATAAAGATCATTTTGAATTCTGTCTTCCAGAGCATTAGCTATTGCACCCAATTCTGTGTCATCCACAAATCTGAAATATATCCAGGTCATTCATTTAAAAAAATGCTGAATTGCTTCAGGGCCAGGACTGAGCCTTGTGGTAACCTATTTGATACCTCCTCCCAGTTTGAGAAGCAGCCATTGATAAGCACTCTGCATACAATTCTGTAACCAACTGTGTACCCACCTGACACTTATTGCATCCAGCCCACACTTGGTTAGCATACTAATCAGAATACCGTGAGGTAGAATATCAAGGTAATGTTAAAGGATAATTCAATTATAATATGAGAAGTAAATTGAATTTAAATTGTGAAACTAATCAATTAAAAAAAATCTCAAATCCCTTCTGCTGCTCTCAATCAATTGCCTAATGCCTGCCTGCACAAAAGGATCTTTGCATATTGGTGGAAAGAAAACAGGGAGGAGACAAGGTGTAAAATTATACATTTTAAAGTTTGTCAAGAAATTATTGATGTAGCATGGCTGAAGATTTCCTCCTAAAGTGTAGTTTTCATTTCTCTCTTAACAAAGATAAATATTTTTGTGCACACAAAATGTACCAAATATTTCTCCACTTGCTGGTTTTGATTCCCATCAGAAGATAACTAAGGGAACATCATCATTTGGCAAGCATTGCAATAAGATACACACTTTGTGCCATTGGGCCCATCGATGCTGGCCCATCGATGCTGACAATCAGGAACTTACAGTCTCCAGAAGTCCAGTTGCGAAAAATGTGGATATCCTGCTAAGTGCAAGAAAAAGTATAACTGGCGTGCTAAGGTCAAAAGGTGCAATACTACTGGGACTGGCCGTGTGAGGTATCTGAAAAAGGTCTGCCACATATTCAGGAATGAAGGAATGGCACCAAAGCCCCAGAGAGCTGCAGCTGCAGCTTCCATCTCATCTTAAGGACACTAATAGAAGGTTGACTTTCCTGAAGTGGAGAAACTTCCACAAGATGTGTGCTACCACACAGGGGATACTCAGGGATCTGAAGTGAGTTTGTCAGGAAAAGGTGAGCTGTGTCTGGGCATTTATGCGTGGGTGAAGTGAATTGCCTTGGTTTAATAGATCTTCATAGACATTGCAACAAATAATGTCTACAGAAATATCTTAGCTGCAGGCAATTTCCCTCCAAATGTTATGCTTTTTCTACATAACAAAGCAACTGGATTGTGGCCTATGTGTTTTTATCCATTCTGACTATAACACAGTAATTTTTAAAATTAAATTAAATTAAATTTCATTTTATTTTTCAGCACTGGGGAGATTTTCTGGAGGAAAATAAATACACACTGTCAAAAATACGTTGGCTTCACACATCAACCAGCAAATCTAGTAGTATTAGATGAGTTCTGGCGTCTTTTTGATTGTTCAGATTGTACTTCAGGTATATGTACATGCCTAGAGAAAAGGCAGTAGTTTTCCAGTACATTTTCTACAAAATGCCACAAAAAGTACACTGTAATAAAAAGCTCCCATTGGGCCCCTCTTGCACTGGAGGTGAATAGGATTGCAGAGTATGGAGAATTTTCAGCAAGCTACCTCTTTGTATTGAAATGGGCTGTTTCAATGAGATATTGGTGCACTACTGAGACAGAGAATGAGAGGTTTCAGACTGGCATCAGCATCTCCAGGATGGCTGAATGAGAGACTTAAACTTTATACCTTCCCAGAAGCATTAGTGGAGTTCACTGTTTCTTTACCACTAACATCTGCAGGAACATTGTGACCATGATCAGAAATGTTAGGGTGGCAGAAAGTCAAAATCCTTTTCTCTGTTTGCCTGCTGCTGTTAGAAGCACAGCAATGGTCACACAAGTAATGGCTGATAGATGTGCTGTCCGTCTTTGATGTGGACAAAGGAGATCCATTGGCTCAGGTTCATAAAACACTGGCTCAGCTTCATAAAACACTCTGTGTGTGTGTGTGTGTGTGTGTGTGTGTGTGTGTGTGTGTGTGTGTGTGTGTGTGTGTGTGTGTGTGTCTGTCTGTCTGTCTGTCTGTCTCTCTCTCTCTCTCTCTCTCTCTCTCTCTGTGTGTGTGTGTGTGTGTGTGTGCGTGTGTGCGTGTGTGTGTGTGTGTGTACTTCAGAGCTTCATGCTCACCACATGGCAAAAGCACAGCATTTGATCAATCTGCAGAAGAAGAAGGGGTGAGTCATTTCAAAGCAGAGACGAAAAACAATAGCTAATTCAAATCTTTATCACATTTATCACCTAGAGATCCGCTTCAGAAGAAATGGTTTGACCTGGGGATCTATACAGTAAAAAATGAAAGGAATATGAACAATGATGAATAATTACTGCCCTGTTGGAAGCACGTTAAAAAAAAAAAGACACTCCATAAATTTTAAACACCAAGCCTGCAATGAAAGTGAAAATGGTTCTTAAGCACCGACTATAAAAATAAACCTGTCAAAATAATAGTCTCCTATTCATCCAGTCACTACGGCTTCTTAATGTCTGAGATGGAAATAATTTTCTAAGTTAAAAAGTTGTTAATGGAAATGAAGTGTTTTATCTTAGCCGTGTTGCTAAATAGGACCGTATTTAGAATATCAGGCAAAATAAATTAATGTGTTCACCAGGCTGTTTTATGAAATAATATAACTGTGGAAGTGGGGAGAACTCACTATAACACATTGGAGTGCTAAAATATTAAATGTATTTGATTTTTGTGTATGGTCATCTATATTTAATTTTAAGAAATATACTAGTTTCAGATAGGTTTCTTCTCCCAGGGAAAGACCAGAGCATTTTGTTGCCTGAGGCAAAAGTTAAGATGATGCTATTTCTTAATCTATGTACAAAAGCCACCTTGTCTTGAATCTGCAACTGCACACAGGTCACCTGGTTCCGTCTGGAGGAAATTGGGCACTATGGGATGGATCCAAAATTGTTCCATGGTGATCTGGTTCCTGCATAGTTGAATTTGTGCCTCAGATATGGATTGATTTGTAAATTTGGGTCATCAGCCCTCCTAGTTTTCACTGGAAAACCAAATTGACTGTAATTTTTTCCTCTTTTTGCAGTGATTAGAATGGAATTTGGAGATATAACAAGATCCCAAACAGGGAAGTGAATTTGATGTATATCAAATAGCTTGCAAGCACTGTGACTAAGGTGAAACTCTGGCCTCAGAGCCTATGTTCTAGCTGTCATTGAGCAAAATCCAGCTGCCTTCCTTCTCGCTTGATCACTTGTTCAAATATTTCCTCCCCACAGTCTGCCCTTTCTAGCCACCCCTCATTTTAGACACTTAAACCATTAAATCTGTCCAGAAAGCCTTGGCTTCATCTTGGAATTGGACTTCCCCTTTCTGCTTTGATGGAGACTCAGACAGATTGGGCCACATAAATCTAGTTTGGTTTGAAAATCTGGATTTGGCTAAACTTACTTTAATCTGGATGTTAGAACCACATTCTCTGCCACAACAGAGGACAGCATGCTATATATGCAATGTTGTGCAGGCCAAGTGGCCCACAGTACTGTCTCTTTGATCTAGGTCAGTGGCTCCCAACCTTGGGTGCTCAGATATCCTTGGACTAAAACTCCCAAAAGTGTTTGCTACTAGCTGTGCTGGCTAGGATTTCTGGGAGTTGCAGTCCAAGAACTTTTGGGGACCTCAGGTTGAGAAGCACTGGTCTAGATAAAGTGGTTGAGAGCGGAGGGCTCTGGAAGACCAGCCAGCATGATGATACCATTGATACTTATTACTAATAATGCAATCTTATTTGTATTTATCACATAATATGCAATTAATACTAATTTCAACATGGTGCAGGAGTTTTAATAATGTTTTTTTAATTACTTAATCTGTTATGTTATTAGCAATCTTTTCCACTGAGTTTTCTTCAAGCTTTGCACCTCATCCTTTTAACCAGTCTATTTCTTTCAGTACTACTATGTGAAGTGCATTGAGTTATTAAGGAGCTGCTCAAACCAAGCTGAATGCCTCTGTTATTTATTTGAGTATTCTAATCTCCCACTGCATTATTATAGCTACTAGAAATCAAGTCTACTTCTAAGAGGCATTGCCTTCTTTATTGAGTGGAAATGCATTTCAGTGCTGCACCAGAAATAACTTGGAAAAAGTTGTTTTTGTGGGTTTGTGGGGGGAGGGATTGGACTAAAAATCCCAGCATCCACTTGCATGGCTGGAGGATTTTAGAAGATACAGCCCAAAATGTAACTTTCTCATATTCCAGTAGAGACATAATGCAGAGACTACCAAAATCCAGTAGTAAATTACAAGAGCTGGCCTGTTGAATCAGTAGATCTTACAGAGAAGTTGGCTCATCAAATTCCCCACTTATTCAATGAGCTTACTCTAGTTGAAACTTACTACTGTACTTCATCCATTGTTGGAGAGTAAGCACGCAGCAATACAGGAGCAATGCTCGCATGGAATAATTACCTGAGCACACACCCCCTTCGTAAAAGAATAACATCCATACTTCTTTCTAAGAAAATTAAAAAGGTTATATTTATTAGAGAAATACACTTGTGATAGGAAAAGTGATAGAACTCCTAGTTCTAGCTAGCTAAGTTGGAGATGTTCAGAACCATGGTTATCACTTTCATTTCTAGAGAACAAAGGCAAGACATCTGCACCTCAGGGGCTCAAGAGGGAAGGAAGTGACACCTTGAATCCTAAGAATAGCAATCAGAGGTTGAAGGAAAGCCAACACAGGTAGTTTGGGACAAAGCACAACCTAGGGAATCTGGGAAGCTCTTCTCTCTATTCTTCCCTATGTTAAGACATGCATCTTCTTAAGTCTAAGTTGTACCCACTCCCTTTCAAGACCTACTACTAGTCAGTGTGAAATATAACTTCAAAATGGGTCAGGCGCAGCTATTTCTGATATGCATATATTCAGTAATTTATGGGTGTTGCTAAGTGGCTGAGAGTGTTTGTCTGACAGTGGCATACAGACCTGCATGCAGGAGTAGCATTTGGGGTTAGAAAAATTCAGAAGCGCACTGATTATGCTTGGAGGAGGAGAAATGTCAGATGCAATTATTTTTCATATGGATATGCTGCTTAGGAAAATGGTCAGAATGATAACTTGATGACTGGAGTTCTGATAGCCCTGATAAACACCCGTTGGCACGGGTGGAGATCAAATGAAATGAGAATTCAAAATGGGCTTCAGTATGAAATAATGAACCACACTCATGTTTTATAAAAAATTATTGTCTTGAATGGCTCTCACAGAGAACAATCACAGAGAACCAAATCATTGGAGCAAAGAGAAAGCTACAATCCACAAGACATTCTTATGGAAACAAGCCCTATTGTGTCTCTGTTCCTCCCCAAAATCATCCTTTCATTGGGACTGCAGTCTTGATGGCACAAAAAGATCTCAGTCAAGCTATATAGTTCAGAGATAGGAAAAATCTATCTTCTCAGACAGTTATTTTCAAAAGGCTTTTTAAACCTCAGATCCTTTCTGTCTCAGATATACAAATTGTGAATTGTTGTAAAATCTTCAAAAACTCCCATTAAGTGGACCTTATCTGGTGGGATTAGGCACCTACCTTTGCAGTGTACCTGAGCACACTCCCAGTTTAGCTGGAACTGAGTAACAGTACTAATACAAGATGATGTTTTAAATTTTATTTATTTATTTACTTATTTATTAAACTAGATCTGAAATGGAACAGAATTAACCTCTGATGTTGGGACAGTGGCCTTCAAAACACCTGAGAGCTACAAACTACTTCAGTGGATGCAGGGCAGCTAATGTAGTACTCACGGTATTATCTCCCACAAAATAAACAAAAACAAACAAACAAAAAGCATAGTTTGGGGCACACACAGAGAGCTGATGCCCTCTATCATCTGCCGCCTGAGATGGCTGCCTCACTCTCCCTAATGACAGTGCCAAGTCACTGTGACAGCCT